TTTTAAAATCCAAATGCCTTAATAGAGGGAGACCTCTCTCTTGTTAAATGCATCACTAAATTGAATCTACTGAACAATACATCCCACTGACAAGCTCAGCATGAGCCAGTGCAGCTTTCCAGAACTCCTCTTCAGACCTGGGTTACCTCTGGCCAATAGCTCAGATTTGCAAAACCATGGAAAAGTTTCAGCTGGAAGGGACCCTGGCAATCATCTTTGCCAACCTGGTGTTGAAAGCAGGGCCCTGGATTAGGTTATCCATGGCCCTGTCCAGCCAAGTCTTAAATATCTGCAGCCAGACAGATTCCGCTGCTTCTCTAGGCAGCTTATCCCAGTGTCCAAGTGGTCTCAGTGGAGAAATTGTTTCTAAAATCCAAATAGAAACACCCTGAAGCAACTGGTGCCTCTTACCTGTTCTGTTTCTGTGCATCCTTCTGAAGAGAACCACTGCCTCCGTCTTCTCTCCTGTAGGAGTTTTATGGGAAATCTAGTTAACAGGAGTTTTGCATACATAAAAGGGGACAAAAAAGAACACTTGCTCTACAAATTCTATTGCATTTAAGCTGCTTGTAACATTTAGGATTCACGGTGACAAAAGAGCAGAAGTACACAGGAATACTTATAGGTGCAGAAGGATTGACAGTCTTTCCAAGCACAAATTGCTGGGGGTAACTTACTCTTCATCCATCACAACAAATCTATTACATTTACTGTGGAAAAATCAATGAAATATTCTTATACTAATTAGATCAAATGATGCAGATAGAGAACTTCCTGATTACAGAATAGACAGATGACCCTTCAAAAACAGGTGTTGGTTGGCTTTTTCTTCCTTCTATAGCAACTGGTTTTGCCCCAGTTTTTACCCTTGAATATGTTAAGCTACTTAAAACCCCTCCAAATGAAACTAAAGCATATGAAGGTTTCTGCAAGGTTTGCTAAAGGACTGGTCTTCTAGTGGTTCTTTACCTTTCCTTAACAATAACAGACACAGATTCAAGCAGCACTATGCATGTATTTTCGGATGTACTTCTTGGACTAAAGTCTCCAAAACTTGTCATTCAGGATCTGCATGACATGAGCTTTCCCACCCCAGACTTAGAGGACAGAAGGAAATACTATACCCAGCTTACCTGACTGGTGGATTTTGCTCACTGTTAAGCCATGGGACATCCAGCTGGGGGAAGGTCAATGGCACCCAAGGGTGCGCTGCTCCCTCTATTAATTACTTCTACCATCCAAAAAGTGTGCCTTTCCACTTGGCCCAGGTGGGTCTTGTTCCACATCTCAGGCACTGACTTATGGAAGAGACCTTTACTATTAAAAAAGTACTTCAACAGCAGTCTATAAACCCTGTTCAAGACAGCCTTTAACCTTCACTTGGTTTAATAAGTGACATTGAGATCACCGAATGTTTCATTAAAAGGTGGTTTCTAGGCCTCAGGGTTTTGTGGTGCTCTTTTCTCAAGGGTCAGACATGAAAATTACTACTTTGTACACAGCTTTGCTCATGTTACTTCCAGAAATAAAATAGTAAAGTTCCTTCTCTTTTGACAGATTTCAAAATCAGAATGCACTTCAACTCCTACTTTTGTAAAAGCATAATAAAACATATATTGAATGATATGAACTATACGAAATCAACAAAAAGTGACAGAATAGATGTAATATTCTTATCTGATGTATGTATATTATAATTAAAAAGCTGATAAAAACCACCCCAAAAAAACAAACAGGCAATATGAACTTGGTTATGAATTTAAGCTATAACAAACCTGACTTTTACATTCATATTTTCTCTTACGCTGTGTTGATTTGAATCAATACTTAAACTGAAGACAAGAAACAATTAGGTGCAACAGGAAACTGCTTACACACTGAACATAATCCTCATTATCCACATCGATATAAATTCATTTCCTGATATAATGCTACCTTTCATTATTGCTCCTGTTAATAATGTCAACTTTGAGAGCAATCCAAATCCTAACCCCTTCTTCCCATGAAAAGCCAGAAGTAAGCATGGCAATAAAGAATGCTTCCCCTTTGGACATATGTCAATGCCAGATCTTATTTTCTGCTGCCTAGTTTCCTCTTGCAACCCCACAGAGGATGATCTGCTTCTCCCCCAGAAACTGAGGCTTCTGTGCCCTGCTCTACAGCCAGTGTTTTCATAGAAGGAAATTAAACGACAGGCAATGGAGAAGAGAGTCTTCAGACAGCAGGAGAGAATAAAAACTTAATCCAGGGATTACACTACAGAATTAGGAAAACTGCATAATAAATATACTTCAGGCAGTGTCTGTGGAATCGTGGTCTATCTCCAAGGTGCAAATCTAAACCTTTGAGAGCTAAACTGAAAAAAATAACAAAGGAAAACCAGACAAACTGTTTTAAACAAAATCAGAGTAACCAAAAAAGTTTACATTATTTAATAGCACCTTTCCCTCATGATTCTGAGCATCTGCATACTGTTATTTTTAAAAGACAAAGGAGTGAAGATCATTTAGATTCATTTCAATAGAAGCAGAGCAAGATTCAAGATCTTCTCATACCCTTTACGAGAATCTTAAAGCCAGACGTGTGTCATTAAGACTACTGTGGTTTCAGTCAGACAGCAGCTACCATCGTTGCTAATAGGCATGGATGCTGTGAGGAAAGGGAACTGTTATTTTTTAGTAGAGCCAGTGGGAATTTTTCAATCAGATAATTCCTAGTTGGAAAACATCACCTTTTTAACAGGCACTTTTTTAGAGTTTCTTTGGATTGATGTGAGATTTCTGGTCACAATAGAAGGAGACAAAAAGAAACCAAAGATTAGTTTGGTGTCTGGAGCATTCTTACAGCATGTGGTAAAGACCAGATCCAACAACCCTTTTCTGGCTAACCTGCAGCAGCAAAATGACCATAAAGTTCCCATTTCTGCTTCAAGCAGAAAATGGGAACTTTGTCTATTTCTAGCTATTTTCTTATCCTCCTTCTGTTTTCAAGTTTAAAACCCACAACTTTTAAACTCTCTCCACAATGACTCTCTTTCCATCCCATTTTTGTTTTAAATCTCCTACACAAAAGGTCCTCCAACCTCTCCAGTATGAATGAGAAACCTCACTAATTAAAGGATATTAGACTAACTAGAGAAAATAGTCTATGTCTACACTATAAACCACTTTGCAGCAAAGAGCTTCCCACCCCACGAACACCGAAGACTGTACATGTATTTACTCAAATAATCCCTGTTATTCATGAGCAGACATTCTATAAGAGAGAGGCAAAAGTATTATTCCTGAATGAACGGCTTTGTAGTATAGGATCTCTAATAAAGTCAAAAGGAAGCGTTTCTGGATATGTTCCACCACTTGATGTTCAGGAAACCATTTTGTATGACACAAAGGATTAGGAAAAATAAGCTGCATGACATTTATTTTGTAATTTTAACATTAATATCCGTAGAAACATTTTATTGTCAGTACAAAAGTTAACAGATTTTAATACTTCTTTGACCCAATTTAAAAATAAAAGGACAACCAAAACAAAACACCACCACATAAAACAGTGTAATTTGCATTCATATTGCATGGCCATATCAGTGTGAGTGTTCTGAAAGTACAACCACAAGACTTCTGTAAAAAGGTACAAACAACAGTGATGTTTTAGCAGAGGCCAGTGCTATACCTACTGTTATGGAATGGATCAGAAGGAAATATTGGAGTCAGCATGAATTAATCCCTTAAAAAGATGTTGATATTCCTATGGCAAATTGTCATTATAAACAACTTCTCTCTTTTTAACTTAAGTTACAATAGAGGGATAGTCTAAAAAGCAAAAGATCCAGGCCAACAGATCTGGAACCTATTATCCGAACTCAGGGAAGAGAATTGTAGTTAATTTGATGCATGTGCAACTCAGGGTAGAAGCTCAGCTCCTTTTAGAGCAGTATGTTCTGCTATGGTTATAGACAAATTCATGTCTTTCCTTACTTTAGGAACCCTCCTTTTTTGTTTGTGTGTGGAATGATTCTGCTTTTTGGCCATGGGAAAACATTTCTAAAGAGTTAAATTGTTAAAGTGACAGGTATTGAGAATAAAAGACTTTCTTGTTAAAGGATTTGGTTTTGATAAGAATAATCATCTGACACTGCAGTTTTTAAACACAAATAAATCAAAAGTTTAATTCCCCAAAATTAGTTATATACTGTAAATATTTCTTTTTTTTTAAAGATCTGAAAACTAGTAAAGTCTGAGCAATATATCTACTAGTTCTCTGTGCTGCCTGCATAGAAATGCCATTTAAATTACAAAAACACAACAACCCTATAAACGATTAACTGTTTTGTACATTACCAATTAGTTAATAAATTAATGATATACCATTTTCCCTGAAAGCAAAGTATTTTCCACCTTTGGATGGTGAAAATTAAGAAATTCTGTGTAAGAACAGCATTTAGCAAATAGCTGTTAAAAAAGAGACTAATTTGCTAGGTGGATTGGGACATCCATTTTTAAATCAATACAAAAAATAATTCATTGTAAATATATATAATATATATTTATACATATTTTGAATATATTTACATACATCCAGCACCTATATACTGCATTTGTGCTCTGTAAGTGTGTGCCAACATATATTTTCTCCAAATATTACAAAATAAACAAGAAAGGCAGACCGAGAGTTTGCCTCAAGTCCAACTGGTCCATTGTACAAACAAAGTCTGTTGCAGCTTACAGGAAGCCAGAGAATTGATAGCAATGAGTATCTAGACACAGTTCATAAACATTCTTCTTGTTGGGAATATTTAAAAGCTGTGAATTATAAGATTCTTTATGTAGGTTCTGAACTGCTTTCCTCCAAGTTTGCAGGGTTTTTTTCTCCTTTTTCTTCTTTTTTTCCATATTTCATATGTACAAGCAGAAACATTAAGGTCCTGGAGAAAGATTTTGTTTTGCATATGGTAGGTAGCTTGATGTTCTTGTTTCTTTATTCCTCTGTATGATTTCTTTTCATGTTTTAACACTTCCATTCATGTGTTGGTACTTGGGAAGACAAGGTTCATAAGGCATTGGATCGGGAGAAAAAACAGAGTCATCACCTGAAGAACACGAACTCCTTGTGTCAGGGTAACTAGGTGAATACTGTTCAAGAGGTCCACTGAGGTCCAGATACTCCTATGGCAAAGAAATAAACCACATTTTAGACAGTAAGACTGACAATAACGTGTTACTGCTGCTCTGATTTGGCTTGATCATCCCATGGGTGAAAGAGGAGTTTAAAGATGATACTCGTTTCTGTAACGCAATTGCATTCAAACCCACCTCTCGGTTAAATATCTGCTAAAACAAGGAGCTTGGATAGAAAAAGAAAACCCAAACCAATAACATGGTACTTTTCTGAAGTCCAACATCGCCAGCATTAGCCACGTCACTGGGAATAAACATGCCAACCACATCAAAAGAGAACTTTTCACTCGCAATGATAAAAAATGAAATTTCATCCTAAATAGAACCATTTTTCTTTAGCACATGGTAATGATTTGGTGAGGGAAGGGTACTTCCAACTTTATATTCCTTTGGTCACTTTGAATATCTGTTTTATATTCTGTGATATTAAATTTGTGTTTAAACATGCAGTGGCATACATGCAAAAAAGAGCTGAAAAAGGAAAATCAATTCCCTAGATTTTGGGGTTTTCATGTGTGTGAGTGTGTCCCAGAGTAGCTATGACCAAAGCAGTCATTAAAAAAGGAAATAATATCTGCTGAATCCAAGTTTTGGGTTAAGGCTCTTTTGCTAGAAACAACAGTTTTGGCAAGAGAATAAAGTTATTTTTTCCCCTTGAAATGTTCCTTCTCTTTCAACTTCTAAAGGCAGCTGCATTCATTTAAATGCAATCTCTTCATTTGCTAAACCGCAAGTTATGATTGTACTGACGAGACAAGTCTTCCACCTCAGTCAGTATTTTATGCTGCTGTGCTTCGGTTTTGGGGTAATTTAGTTCTTCAGCTAACAGATTTTTTTCAATCAATCAGCCATTCAATCATTACCATATTATAGTTAAGAAATGGTCACCATTTGAAAAGCAGTGAATGTGAGTTTTAAAATGCCGACAAATAGAGTAGGCAGCAAGGGAAGGCAATTTGGATGTGTGATTACTGCCTGCCTTGCTGCCTAACCTCTGAAAAATCCATGAGGGCAATCATGACATGTTTATTAGTAAACCAGCCCTACATGAAAAGAAATAATCAACCACTTTCTAGACAGATAGAAGAAGAAAGTATTCCAGTATCTGAAGAAACAGGGCTTTCCCATGGCATATCAGGCATTGCTCATCATATCAAAATCCTTGTTGTAATTCAGTTATGAATTCAATATTGAAGGTGGGATTCTTATTCCCTCTCCAGCCTTCTTATCCAGTGCTGAGGGCCAGAGTCACATAAAGGGGCATAAGAAGTTTCCAGTATCAGGTTCATTCCTGGTGTTGATACAACAATACAGCTATATGGCTGACTCTTTGTGACTCCTGCTTATGCAGCTTGAGAAAACATTCCACGCTACTCTTGGAAACATCAGAAATATGGTCTTTCAGGAGGGTGAAAAAATAACAAACAAACAATCCCAACAAAACCCCAACAAAAAACCCCAAGAAGTGATGATCATGGAGAAGAGCAAGACATCACCATTTAAGCAGAAGCAATTACTTGCACAAATGCAGAGGAAGGCTGCGTGGAGACCTCACAGCAGCCTTCCAGTATCTGAAGGGGGCCTACAAGGATGCTGGAGAGGGACTCCTCATTAGAGACTCTAGTGGTAGGACAAGGGGTGATGGCTTTAAACTTAAACAGGGGAAGTTTAGATTAGATATAAGGAAGAAGTTCTTTACTGTGAGGGTGCTGAGGCACTGGAATAGGTTGCCCAAGGAAGTTGTGAATGCTCCAGCACTGGAGGTGTTCAAGGCCAGGCTGGACAGAGTCTTGGGCGACATAGTTTAGCGTGTGGTATCCCTGCTCATGGCAGGGGGGTTGGAACTAGATGATCTTAAGGCCCCTTCCAACCCTAACTATTCTATGATTCTATATAAGATGACTCTGTATCAACAGTGTCATTCCAGGGGAAAGGGAAAGTGCCACTGTGGAGAGGACAAGCAGAAGTACTGTCACACTGAAGCATGAAGGACCTGCACTTCAGGAAACGTGCAGATTACACAAAATCAGAGGACTCAAAAGCTACGAAGGAAAACGAGACACACTGGAGTTCTCAGGAGATGCTGAGTGAGAACATGACAAGTTTTCAAGAACATAAAATGTGCTGCAAAGACAAGTGAAATAATTTGCTTTCTATGTCCAGGGTAAATAGGACAAAAAGCAGTATCTTATGTTGAAAGATTAGAGATTAGGAAAAGCTTTCAAGAAGTAAAGCTAATGAAACAAAGCAATAGACTGTCAAGGGATGCAGAAACACAACAGTGGAGATCTTTAAGGAAAAGTTACATAAACATCTGTCAGGAATGACAAACTTATAGTGGATGCTGCCATAGGCTGATCAGATGGACTGGATGTGCTCCTGAGCTTTTCCCGGCCTTTTTGCCTGTGATTCTAGCCTAAAGTAATTTACAGAACCCTAAAGGCCCTTTCAGGTTACCTTTGAGATCCTTCCAGCTCCATGATTTGGGAAGGCAAGATGGTTAAACACACACAAAAAAGAAAACAATATCCTTTCCCAGGCTTAGAATTGCAGCTCAGAACCTCGCTCTTCAATTTGCAAATGCATATCCAGTCCAAGGCACCCAGCGCTCCGCAGTGGCAGCCAGCCACCTCCAACTAGTCTCAGGAAATCATATATAAATTAGGCAGGAAAAGATGCAGTCTGTCTGAACGAGGGGAAAATGGTCACGGTACGCAGAGCTGCATCACCGACTCCAAAGGGAGCACACACGTATTCCTGCCCACCTCTGAGCCACTCCTGAAGGTGCCATCTTTTAGAGTAAGCCTAAAAACCAGAATCCAGATAAATATATAGCTGCTGCTGAAGCCAAAGAACCTTTTTCAACCAGATCTACTGAACAAATTATGATCATAAAAGATGGGATCTCTACTCAGGTTCTCCTGTCATGTCTGTTGCACAGACTTCCTTAAAGCTGCTTAAAAATCCATTTCTTATTTCTCTGACAATTACGAAGACTCAGAAAGCAATATATATATATATATATAAAAGAATCCAGATCTTTTTTCCTACCTTTTGCTCCCTTATAAAGAAGTAATAGCGCATCTGAAAAATTTATTTTGAAACTGGTAAAACAAGTTGTTGCTACTTTCCTAAATGTTTTGTTCTTTTTTTTCCCTCCCATTATACATATAATACATCTATTTTCTCAGAATGATACACATAACACATATAATTTCTCGGAACAATAGGAATTCAGAAAGTATTTCTGGGACACCAAGCATTTCCCCTCAAAAGAAGTTTCCCTCAAAAGAATCAACATTTCCATCGCTTGTCATCTTCCTCAAAGGTGCATGTGATTTAGTGGTAAGAGAACCGATTCCTGTGTGAATACGCTAATCAGTGTGTTCCTTGATAAAACTAATAATATCTCAGACCTCTGAAAGACTGCTCTTCAAATAAAGCCTTTCTGCATTCATATATCCCAATCTGAAGCAGTGTAAGGCAGGACCTTCGGATAATTGGATGACTGTTCACACGTTCCCTATGGGTCCACCTTCCCTCCACAGAGAGCTGTTTCAGTGAACCTAATTCAGTCTCAGACATATAATGTGAAATCTACCATCAACAGTTTCTCCTTTTCTGACCTAGATATCATGGCTGGCAATCAAACTGAGTTGATAAATGAAAAGCACCATGAACTCCACGTATCTCCTTCACATGAAATTCATGCTGGAACATAACCACTGCCTTTCAACCTGCTGCATGCACTCCCTCGATACTGCTATGCTAAAACCATCAAAAGATGCACTGAGATATAAACAAAAGCATTTTAAAGATGTGTTTCTGTTTAGTTACATAAATCAAGGCATAATGGCAAGAAACCGAGGATTTCATGCGTGTAACCTCAGAGGACAACGACAAACAGAACAAGAAGAGAACTTGAGCAGGATTTCATAATTGAATAAATTCCATCTGTCTCCTGAACCATTTGTCCTGATCAGCAGCTTATGGAGGGAAACAATTTACCTACCTCATTAGTTGTGAGAGTGAGAATCCGATCCAAGTCTTCTACCAACTGTTTGAAAGTCGGTCTCTGTGAAGGCACAGCATGCCAGCAATCTCTCATCATCATATAGCTGTAAGAAATACACATTTTCTTGGCTTAATTAAAATCACGCGTTCTCCTCACAAACCTTTTCAGACACAATGTTCTTCATCACAGATAAAGCAGCGAGCATCCACAGCCCTACACATGGACCACTGACTTTCCCAAAACTGTGTGATATTCCCTTCCCTCAAAGTTGCATTTCTATTCCTGTACCTCTTTTTCTTCCCTGGTGTATAAACTGCTTTTTTGTGGACCCAATTCTATAGCCTTCTTTCCCAGGAATTTCAGTGGTATTAAATTACATGTGCTTAAATATTTGTGCATGTTAGGGATTGTGGTCTTTGTGAAGTGAAGAAATCAAAATGTGTAAAAAAAAATATATTAAAACATAGTTAAGGGCTCTACTGAAATACCAGAGTGGGAAAACACTCTCCCCTCCATCACCAGGAGATAATGGTGTGCTAACATAGAAGTTCCCAAATGTGTTTTGTTCTGTACAAAACCAGCCTGACGTACTTTACGTATGATTACTGGTATGTGTGCCATTTAGGCATTTTCACATTAATGAGATTAGAATAAAACAAATATGGGTGTAAAAACACTGATGAAGACAGGGTAGTAAAGAAGTATCCTCTGTCAAGCATTTCCTGAAGACCTTTTCTTTACATATCTAACACACACGTACATCCACAGTTTTAAAGTCAAGCAGTTCTGCTGGGGTAGCATTAACCACGTGAATTCAGTACAGTTTATGCCCTCCAGTCCTGGTATAGCAAATAAGGATCCTTACAGTTCATTGGTGCAGTTGGCAGGTTTATCCATACGGTGCCCTTCTTTAAGCAGCTTAAAAAGTTCCTCCACTGGGATTCCTGGGTAGGGTGATCCTCCTAACGTGAAGATCTCCCACATTAACACACCAAATGACCAACTACAAATCAAAGAGAAAACTGCATTAGTAGATCTGCCTTACTGCTGGAAACAGAGATGTGTCTGTGGCAGACAGACACTGCTGGTCCCTCTTAGGAGATGCTTTAAACCAGCATCTGCCCAACTCCAACTGCAGAGTTGGAAGGAAGGAACCTTAAACCTCCTCTAATACCAACCTCCTGCCATGGGCAGGGACACCTTCCACTAGAGCAGGTTGCTCCAAGCCCCTTGAACACTGCCAGGGATGGAGCAGCCACAACTGCTCTGGACAACTTCTTCCTAATATCTAATCTAAGTCTTCCCTCTTTCAGCTTACAGTTATTCCCCCTTGTCCTGTCACTACATCAGTCCATGAATTGGATATATGCCTGCGCAGCATATAGAACAGGGACTGACCTGAGTAGAAAGGTCAGAAACACTCTGCCTTTGTCTGCTGTGCTCTAAGCACCCGAGTTTCCAGGACTGTTGCAAAGAACCACGTCTTCACAGCTCAGTTATTTACGGAACACTCACAGCTGAGCTGGATTGCACTGACGTAGCAGGGTATTTTGGAGAAAAAAAAGCAGACTGTTCAAAACAAAAATATTTTGCATCATTCTGCTCTATTTTTATTATTATTATTATTATTATTATTAA